CTTTAGATCATTCGTTATCTATCTCACCTGAGCTAAAGCTTTGTTTTTTAAATTTTGGTTTTTTTTCTTCTCACTTTTTATTGCTTTTAATATGGTTTATTCTTCTGCGAAAAGGGCATTGTTCTTGTTTTGTTTTGTTTTGTTTTATGAGTTCTGTAAGCTTGTGTCTGTTACGCAAATTTGTTGCTTCGTTTTGTTGGATTTTACTGGAGAGTAGTCTAGTTTCTTTCCAAGATGTAAACAAAAGTAGAGAATCTGCAGAATTAGCCGTAATTCATTCGCAAATGAATGTTCAAACTCCTTGCATGTTGAAGACATCAAAAATTAGTTTTCCACGTGCACGGTAAATTTCATAGACCAGAAGGTCGTTCCAGCCACCAAACTTTTGCTTCGTAGCAGCATTGGAAAAGTTTGCAGTTAGCGTCACATTTTTTTTGGTATATCTGTAAAGATTACTTGTACTAGGTGGTAGAAATTTGAACTGGTTTGTGGTTGAGGCTTGTTATCAGTAGGTTTGGGAAAAGAGTCTTTTATAGTATTATTCTTCCTGAGCATTGTCGAACCATGTGAGGATTGCTGTAATGTCCTGAGATTATGCTAAGGTGTCAGCCAACGTCGACTAGAAAGAAAAAATTACTGAGGCACAGGTGGGTCAGCGAGATGAATGTGGGGAATACGATTTAGAAAGTTTTTGGGATTTTAGACAGTTTTAGGGCAGAAATTCAAAAATAAATTTAAAACTGTGAAGTATCACGCGATGCAGTTTGAGAAATGTATTATTTTCGATTGATGATTTTCTAGTACAGCTGTGCTTTGCTGTATGATTTGGTGGCGGAGAAAGATTCGATAGAAAGAAATATGTTAGTGGTTTTTCTCGGCAACGTCTAGTAGGTGCCCTGTGTTTGACGACAAATTTTTCATAGTCTAAATCACAATCTTGAAACTAATTCCTGATAATTTGGCTTTGTTTCAGCACCTTTTTATTACAGCTCCTTCATCCCAAAAATTTGCAGTTCAAAACCGTCGATTTTTTCATTTTTGACGATTTTAGATGTAAGTGTTGATATAAGAACTGACATTTTGGTTTACTTTTCTTTACTGTGCGCTTTGTCACCTTTACAAAAATTCTCTCGCATCTTTAAATACACTGATCGCCTAAAACCTCAAATAGTTTTCGCTGTAACTCCACCAATTTACCGTTTATAGATGATCTTTCAGCTAGAAAGAGAAAATTGAAGTTGAGCTTTCAAAGACAATAATACTTCAACAGTCTAGAAAACTAATTTTATTGTTTATGTTTATCGGCAGTGAGTACATTTTTGCTAATTAATGTAGCCTCATTTTTTTTAAAAATAATTAATGCACGTTGTTGAAAGTAATTCAAATATTTTAGCTTGTTTGAACTAATGGCTTATTCTGGTTTTTCTTCTTGTTAGGTATCAGTCAACAAATTTGCCCAGAGTCAGCTGAAAGAATCTAATTGTGGTAGTTTTATTGGCATTACTGACCTCTTTTGAAAATGATCACTAGAAAACAACAATTTTTTCTTCATTTTACAAATATTTTCACACTGTTTTTGAATCTATTTTACGCAACTACATTAGTTTTTCAAGTCTAGAGGTCAACTACTCTATCTGCAGGAGTTTCCAATTTTTCTAGATTTGGCTTTCTTTACTTATGCTGCTTTGGAATCTGGCATCTTTCAAAGTCTTTTTACACATTAATTTCTTAAGAATAATGATTTCTTGCTATTCCAAAAAAAATTCGCTGACGAAAAAGTTGCTTTCAAAAGAATAAACTGTTTTGCTCTTGTTTTTCTCAATTGGAAGTTTGTAACATCAAACGCTGAAGGGATAATAACTTTTGCTTTTTTCTCAGACGGAAAAAGAAGCTTATGGTCTGTTGATTAAAGTCATCGACGAACCAGAAGATGCTTGATTGAAACACTGCAAACAGTACGGTAGAAAGAATATTTGTGTTGTAAGAAAGTATATGGATTGAATTTTTTTTTAGATTTTGTCAAAAATCAATCTGATTGCTCTTTAGCAGTCAAGAACACGAACTTATTGCTTACATTGAATAATAAAGACTGGGCCTAGGTCTTTTCGTCTTCCTTTTGAGCATGGCCACCTGGTTTCTAATACCTAAGCTAACTTTGACCAAATTTACAGGCACTTCGCACACAGACTTGGTTTATTAGGAGATGGTATTTCATGCTTGGCGTGGAGAATGAACATCATTATTGCGGCTTTAATCAGTCAAGAAACTGTTGACATATTTTGTCTTTAAGTTTTTTTTTGCTTCAACAACTTGTCGGCTGAATTTATTCACATTATCTATTCTTTTTATGAACTTTATAGGTGGCAATATAAAGTCAAAAAACAAGTTGTGAAGATGAGCCGAAAAAATTTATTAACAATGCCGATACTGCTTTGTTAAGTAAAAATTTAATTTTCTTCATGAAACCAGAAACCGTGAAAAAGATTGACCAAATACAGTAGTCGATTACAAGAACACGTCTATCGCAATGTGAACAGACAATAAAAATGTACAAAATGAACATCGCAGTAAATCGAACTTGTCAAAGGGTAGAAAATATTGCAGAAATGAAAAAAGGAGCAAAATTAGCAAAGCAAAAAAAAAAAAATTAGATCTAATGTCGTTTTAATTGACTGCAGCGTTAACATATAACACATAGTGCTCCCTAAAATGTGCGGTAAGATGACTTAGCACATGTTTCTTTAAAAGCTTAGGAGGAATACTTTTCATACGCCGATTGAAACCCGTATACTAATGAGATCAGCTATGAGAGTTATGATTAATACTGTAACAGAAACAAAAATAGAAAAAATAGTTTTTCTATAATTCTGCTAATAATCGAATTGTCGTGACATACGTCGAATGTGCGAACGTGTGAGTAGCTCAAATTTGGGTAATTAAACCTTTATTAAAAAAAAACAACATTCAATTGCAAAATTACTAATACATCATATATAGTAAAAGGCACAACAAAGTAGCAATCAATAATGAGTTAAATCAAAATTAAAGAAAATTAGACGATAAAAGCTACAAAAAGGGAAATTAGCTGGTCGACCTCGCAGGATTGTGTATCGGCATACAATGGCTCCTTTCTTCCTGTCGATCTGTTCAAACGATCAGCCTTTATCAATATGCAAATACTTGGTTGTTTACATAGTTGCTCTTCTGGCGACATTTGTCGATCAAACTGGAGTTCTTGCTAAGTAGCTTTTCGCGTTAGCCGCGACAAATACAGTCCAAAAAATGAAAGATACTGCCAAGAGTATTTCGAGTTAGGAAATCAAGATAGAGAAGTCTTTATTTCAGGATCCGAGAGAAAAATGAAAATGAGTCAGCCCTAGCTAACTGTCTTGAGCATCCCAGTCGAACACTTCTGGAACATTATCCCATTCGTACCGGCAAAGCGGACAGCACCGATGATTGATTGAACTAATTCCTATAGATAGTGGTGAAGCCCTGAAATAAAGAAGATAAGAACAAAAGAGTGTGAGATGATTTCTTTCAAAAAGCTCTAATTTTTAGGTAGAAACAAAGTTATACCTGCCATAATCACTCGTTTGACTTATGCCTCTCCACCTTTCAACGCAATGCCGGCAGCCTATTAATTGTTGGCATCTGACACACCCAACCGGATCCGTTGGCTTTTCAAAGCAAATTATACACTGCCGACTATCATCATCGCTAGCAACTTTTCTTTCCGCTTAACATCAACTTTGGTCTTTTTATATATCAACTGTTTGGCTGAGTATCAGACAGAAAAAATAAGTTAGGATTATAAAAAGCATTAGTCTTTTTATAAAAAATTTCTCGCACTTTTTGTCTTTTAAGTCTTCTAAAACGGTATTTTTAATAAGCTCAGTTGAAAGTCTTTCACCAAAATATAGAAGGGAGCATTTCTATAACTCTAAAATACTCACCTTCTCGTTCTTGCTGCAACTGAAGCGCAAGTAGTCTACTTAATTCCTCATCCTCTTCTGAAAAAGCTATCTCATTTTGCAAATTATTGCAATATTCGACCAGGCAAAAATTATTTGTGTAAAATTATATATAACTGTTATATATATGTATAACATAGTATAGTTGTACTCTTCAAATTTTCCAGTCAGATGCAAGCATAGGTGTTTTCTTTTAGAATTTCAAATTATTTCAGATAGCATTAAATATTTGATAATTTAATTGTGTAAAGAAGTGTTTGAGAAAAAATACAAAAAAAATTATTTTTCTCGTAAAAAATTTTTTTGCAATTTTTGGCCTCTAATTCTTCTGAAATGATATATTTTAAAAAGTTCAGTTGAAAGTCTAATGACAAAGTTCAGAAGAAAGCATCTTTATAATTCTGAAATACTTACCATCTAGTTTTCTCTGAAGTTGTAATGCAAATTGCCAATCTTTTTCCTCTTGCTCTCGTCTTGATGCTGTTTCTGAAAAACTTATATTATTTTGTAAACTGCTTAAATATCTAAACAAATAATAG